TGATGCAATTGTTGTCGAAGTTCTTAACAAAGATAACTATGAGCATTGGAGTGCATTGGTTAAAAATTATTTGGTGGCTGAAGACCTTTGGGAAGTAGTAGAGGCTACAGCTGAACCTCCACCAGAACAAGAAGCAGAAGCTGATGATCAGTTCAAGGCCTGGAGGAAGAAGAATGCAACAGCTTTACATACGATCCAAATTTCGTGCGGGCCTGATGCTTTTTCGATGATTAAGGAAATTAGTTCAGCCAAAATTGCTTGGGATACTTTGGCCGAAAAGCTCATGCCGCAACCATCACTCCTAATTAATTCATTTGTTCAGTCTGCAAACTCATCATCCAACCCAGGTATATTGTTAAAAGTAGTAGTAGTAGTTTATTAGACAATATCAAGGGCCAAAATTATTCAACATATAGTAAAACAAAGATGGTATGATTTTAAGGGTGATAGAACAAGGATGGTATGATTTCCAGTTTACTTCTAGCAACTTCTTAAACTGTTCTCCATCCTCGCAAAGACTAAATTTGAAAACATATTATCAACCTGTTTTCCAAATTAGAAAAGCTTTGTATCAACTTTATTCAGCCTACTAAAACAAGGATGATATGATTTTAGTTTAGAGTTGTTATTTTGATATAACAATGGTAAACAGAGAAGCATTAATGTCCAAACATATATATACTCGACAGATGCTGCAATTGCTGCCAAGCATGATCCGTATCAACCTTTCTTCGCTGCTGTTAAGCTCGGTGATTGGCGTAAAGCGAAGGAATTTCTTACCCGAGATCCCAATGCAATAAGAGCAAGATTTTCAACAGGAGGGACAGCTCTTCACATTGCAACCAAGTTCGGACATGATCATATTGTGGAAGAGTTGGTTCAGTTGATGACACCGGAAGACTTGGAAATGCAAGATGGTACTTGGACAGCTCTTCATATTGCTGCAAGATTAAATCTCAAAATGGTTGAATGCATGGTTAAAAAGAACAAGAAACTACTTGGCATTGTTGAAGAGTCCCACGGTCTGACACCAATTCTCTTTGCTGCTAAGTTAGACTTATGGGATATCGTTCGTTATCTCTACACCCTCACTCCGATCCAAGACTTAATGCCAGAGAATGGCCCTTATGGCGCTGGACTTGTTTCCTTTTGTTTCCTTGCCAAACAATTTGGTAGAACTCTCAACCAACCCAAACCCAAATTATTTATTTATTTTATACAAGCAATATTGGGGTAGGGGACTCGAATACAGGACATTGGGTATCTGTTCTTAAACACTTGAGCTACGAGCCCCTTACATTATTTACTCATTTATTACTCAAGCTTTTAACTTTCACAGTTCTGATTTTCTCTAATATAGATATTGCGTGGGAATTACTTCAGCGTTGCCCACAATTGGTAATTGCTAAAAATCGGTGGGGAGATTCCCCTATATATATATTGGCTCAAGTCCGTTCTGCATTTCCGAGCGGCACACGGCTCAAATTCTGGGAAAAGTGGATCTATGATGGTTAGTAATACACTCTTTTTTCTCTTGCTACTATCAAATTCATTATATCCCATATATATTTTGCTAACAGTTCATCTACAAGTTCTGCCTGAGGTCCAAAACGAGGAGGGTTACTGTAGCACGACAGTAGCGCTACAGTACTGCTACAGTACCCCCGCTACAGTATCGCTATAGTGCATCGCTAATTTGATTTTTTTTCCTGTTGCCACGTGGCGTCGTCTGGGCTCTCCGATCTGATTTTTTCCTCCAATCCAACGGCAGCCAATTTTTTTGCAATAAAATACTGAAAAAAATTCGGAAATTTTTTAAAAAAATACCCAAAAATTAATGAATTTTTTTCTATAAATACCAGCCTTTTTTTTTTAAATTTATCTGAAATTTGAAATTGAAAATTTTATCCGATTATGAGATATGAATAGTATTGACACGTAGGAACCCGAAAATCTTATCCGAAAATATTATCCAAATTAATTATTGAGGTAAAAAAAGTTGTGAATAAAACAAAAAAAT